GTGTATCAGTATCAGAGAGAGAATTGACAACTAACTAGTTAAGGGATGAATAATCTTCAGGAAATAGCTGAGAAGAAACATGAGAATAAAGAATCGAAAATGAGTTGCAAAAATCATAAAACATAGACCACATCAAGCTCATTCTACAATTATTCAGCAAAACAGAGAGGGCGAAAACAAGAAAACAAAGAAAGTTGACACAAACTCTGATTGATAACAATTATCCAGACAAGTTCATCAGGAGATATAAAGTAGTCCGTGGAACACCAAGACCCACTCTCCAACTCGCCCTTAAGAAGGATGTGGACATCAAGCTACCCTATATGGGGCATCAAAGCAGCTTGATAACTAGACAAAGACTGAACGCTGCCTTGGTTAAAAAAACTTTTTATGCTGCTAATATCATAACAATAGAGAATGTGAAGCCAATGTATCTATTTAAACCCGTTGAACATGCGAAGAATGATGTCACATCCAACAGTATTTACCAATTTGAATGTACGTGTGGACACACATACATAAGGAGGACTCCTCGATCTCTGCCAGCAAGTAAGGGCTGGCTTCAGAGCATATTCTTGAATGGCTTTACAAACAAATGGAATCTTCAGAACCCATTAATGGTGAGAGCAGAGGAAGACCTAGCTCTTCTATTGCGAAACATATTATAGAGACAAGACATTAAATTGATGTTAACAGATCTTTTGAACCTATCTATCAATAAAACGTGTTTGGGGCGTATCCTAAAGTTTGTAGAATCCCTAGCAATTAGAAAGTTTGAGCCAGCTTTATGCATCCAAACCAACAATTCGTCAGCATATTAAACCTTCCTTGGTAAATTTTGTTTTGATACCAGCTAGGGTAGATGTACTATTACCTCTGCTATTTGGTTTAGTGGTCTTCATTGTTATTTCGACCTTCAGTATGTCCTCCTTTTAACTTGACCTAAGTAGTCTATTTTCTCACCTCTTACCTCTTTATTAATTTCATATATATTCCTATGACAAGTCCATGGAGTGTGATCAGATTGTTCGAAATGTGTCGCGCAAATACAACATTACACGATTCAGACAAATTACGTCTTCCTTCTTATTGCTTTATCTAAAGAAATTAGTACTAAGGCTATGATAGTAAAAAAGAGGCTGGATGGACAAAATATTTTTGAACACAAAGTCCAGGCCTCTCCTTATGGTGGATTGCTATGACTTCAAATGCTTGAAGAAGATGTAGATGAAATCTTTCCAAAACCGACTTGGTCTTACTTTATATATATATATATATATGTTTAGGTACATCTCTTAGATACATCTTTAGATACATCTCTTCTGATACTGCATATCCAGATCTATAACACTTTTATACACAAAAACGCCCCCTTCATGTGATTGGCGCGTTCAAGGCCATTCGCCGATTGGTTGTTGTTGGTTATCATTATTATTGTTCCCTTGGATTCCTATTGGAACATACGGCTTCAACTGCACGTCTCCACTTGCCACTTCTGTCTTCTGCTGTGCTGTACTTTTCACCTGCATCATCCATGTTAGTCCATAGTGTTTCAACCAACTCCTCTTCACACGATCTCCTCCATGTCACCCTTGCATTGACAACCCACTCGCCACCACCCATTCGGGTTCCATTCGAGTGATGGCCTGAAGCGCGCGCGATGTGACTCAACGGCCTCCTCAGTGAGTGTCCAATCCATCTCTTCACTTCCTCCTGCATATTTGTTGGGCTCTTGTTGTTGGTTCTTGTTTTGTTTGTTCCCATAGTTTCTTGTTGGTGGTGATTCTTTCCGGCCTGGCCATCTGATTGATCTTCAGTATAGAACCAGCGAAGACAGTTGTTGGTTGATAAAGGTGTGCAACAGGTTGTTGGAAATATTCTTTGTGAACCGCCAGCCCGCCAAGTTTCTGATCCGTATAGAAGAGCAGATTGACTTGACGTTGTTTGTATTGAAAATCAGACTGAATTTTGTTGTTGATGGTGAGTTGAGTGACGAAGATTTCCAGATAGGTTTCAGGTTGATGAATGTGTGTGTTTCTCGCCTTCCCGATTCTCACTCGACGTGACATCTCCGTCCGTTCCGACTGCCTGTAGTTGAGACAATGCTCCCTAGATAAGTGAATGAAGTAACCTCTTCGAAATCCCTCCCGATGATGGTGATTGGCGCTGGATGTTGCTGTTGTTGTTGGTTATTTTCACAACCTTCGTCTTGTCCATGTCCACCTGGAGTCCTGTCTTCGCTGGCTGCTTCTTCGACCAGTTTGTCGGTTTCCGCTTGTAAGTCTTCTATTTTGTGTGACATCAAACAGAAATCATCCGCGAAATGGTTGTTGGTGGTGCTTAAAGTTTAACTTTGCCGAGTCTTTCTTTATCATAAATTCATTTCAAAGCTGTACATTCATTTAGGGGAGTGGGGGTCAAATATTATTACCAGTTAGTAATAAAGTGATTCAAAGTGTATCAGTATCAGAGAGAGAATTGACAACTAACTAGTTAAGGGATGAATAATCTTCAGGAAATAGCTGAGAAGAAACATGAGAATAAAGAATCGAAAATGAGTTGCAAAAATCATAAAACATAGACCACATCAAGCTCATTCTACAATTATTCAGCAAAACAGAGAGGGCGAAAACAAGAAAACAAAGAAAGTTGACACAAACTCTGATTGATAACAATTATCCAGACAAGTTCATCAGGAGATATAAAGTAGTCCGTGGAACACCAAGACCCACTCTCCAACTCGCCCTTAAGAAGGATGTGGACATCAAGCTACCCTATATGGGGCATCAAAGCAGCTTGATAACTAGACAAAGACTGAACGCTGCCTTGGTTAAAAAAACTTTTTATGCTGCTAATATCATAACAATAGAGAATGTGAAGCCAATGTATCTATTTAAACCCGTTGAACATGCGAAGAATGATGTCACATCCAACAGTATTTACCAATTTGAATGTACGTGTGGACACACATACATAAGGAGGACTCCTCGATCTCTGCCAGCAAGTAAGGGCTGGCTTCAGAGCATATTCTTGAATGGCTTTACAAACAAATGGAATCTTCAGAACCCATTAATGGTGAGAGCAGAGGAAGACCTAGCTCTTCTATTGCGAAACATATTATAGAGACAAGACATTAAATTGATGTTAACAGATCTTTTGAACCTATCTATCAATAAAACGTGTTTGGGGCGTATCCTAAAGTTTGTAGAATCCCTAGCAATTAGAAAGTTTGAGCCAGCTTTATGCATCCAAACCAACAATTCGTCAGCATATTAAACCTTCCTTGGTAAATTTTGTTTTGATACCAGCTAGGGTAGATGTACTATTACCTCTGCTATTTGGTTTAGTGGTCTTCATTGTTATTTCGACCTTCAGTATGTCCTCCTTTTAACTTGACCTAAGTAGTCTATTTTCTCACCTCTTACCTCTTTATTAATTTCATATATATTCCTATGACAAGTCCATGGAGTGTGATCAGATTGTTCGAAATGTGTCGCGCAAATACAACATTACACGATTCAGACAAATTACGTCTTCCTTCTTATTGCTTTATCTAAAGAAATTAGTACTAAGGCTATGATAGTAAAAAAAGAGGCTGGATGGACAAAATATTTTTGAACACAAAGTCCAGGCCTCTCCTTATGGTGGATTGCTATGACTTCAAATGCTTGAAGAAGATGTAGATGAAATCCTTTCCAAAACCGACTTGGTCTTACTTTATATATATATATATATGTTTAGGTACATCTCTTAGATACATCTTTAGATACATCTCTTCTGATACTGCATATCCAGAAGTGATAAAATGTACCGCAGGATTGATCTGCGTTCGACTGTTCTGCGTTCTCTCTTTTGACAATCATACTGGCAAATGTTGATGCTACGGTCTATATACACTTTGTTCGCTAGGAGCAAATGAATTGTAGGTTTTAATCATCCAGGTGTGTCACTTTTATCGTGATATGTACTCATGCATATAATTGTGTAGCTTCTAGTCTTTATGAAGTTCATCAGGAAGTTCATCTGTTGAAAAATATAAAGAATTAAATCTTACTGCAGCTGAGTCAAGTGATATGCTATCGATTACTATTTTTTTCTCTGGAACATACTATTATTATTTCCTTTAATTCCTTGAGGAACATAGGGCTCCAGCCACTCACGTCTCCATTGCGTTCGGTTCTCTGCTAAAGTTTTCACCTGGCTCCAGGTCTGCCCACATGCTTGCATCTCCTGTACCCATGATCTCCTGCAAGTCACCCTCGCACTGACGACCAGCTAGCCGATTTCCTTTCGGATTCCACTTGAGTGATGCTCTGTCTTGGGATGTCACTTGATGGTTTTCTCAGAGTATGGCCAATCCACCTACCTCCATTTCCTCCTGCATACTCATTGTACAATCGGTTCCTGGTTGGTTCACTCACTGCCAGAGATCCCTGTTGCTGATCTTTCGTGGCCATCTGATCTTGAGTATTGAGCGATGACAACTGTTAATGAAGGTGTGTAGTTTGTTTGAAGTGCTATTCATGACTCGCCAAGTCTCTGATCCATACGTGTAGCAAGTAGCACTGAGTTGAGGATCCAGATCTTATTTTTCATGATAAGTGCTGAGTGTTGATCTCCACACAGACTTGAGAGTAATGAAAGCTTTTTTTGCTTTCCCGATCCGCGCTTTGATGATATCCCCATCAGTTACGCCCACCTGTAGTTGAAACAATACTTCCCAGGTTGGTAGGTAAAGGAGGTTGTTTCTTTCAGGTTCCTCCCATTTATGCTGGCTGATTGTTGTTTGTTGTTGTTGTCGCCGAGGAATCTTCATCACCTCTGTTTTCTCTATGAACATACTATACCGACAGTTAATAGTTATCATTAAAATATAGTGAAAGTTCTATACTATGAACGGACATATTGTCTTGAACAAAGTTATTAATATTATTATTATTATTGTTATTGTTATTATTATAATCTCTGCTATTAGATTCGTGATTTTCTCTTTATTTTAGGTCTTAGAGGTCTTATGCTAGCTGTAATGTTAGCTGCTCTTATTTCTGATCTGACCTCAATTTTTAATTCAGCTAGTACACTGTTCACTGTTGATATTTATCAGAAAATCAGAAAAAAAGCTAAAAATATGGAATTGATGATTGTTAGCCGGTGAGTTGAATTTAACAACTTTGTCTCTTCTTCATGTTGAAACCAATTTCTTTTATTCCTGACTTCAAAATTTCATCATGAACTGACATGATGGTTCGAGGACCGTTGGAAAACCAGCTAGGAGTACTTGAAAGCTGTTCCACTCCCCGCCCCTCCCTCAAAGTTTGTGACTTTTCATCAGTACGCACCCGCTGAGGGGATTGAACCTCATGACCTTCTGGTTACAAGGCGAGCTCTGCTAGCTTGTATAGCATTAAGCCACTGGGACGCAATCCAGTAGTGGCAAGTCCGTGAATTCCAATTTTTGCCATCACTGACCTGCTGTACCCCACTAGTCACTACTTCCTACCAGGTAGGTAACTGCTTACCTGAATTGGGTCAGTCACTGATTTTGACAAATATTAGCAGCAAGAAACACATGACAAAGAAAGCTGAAGAGGACTACTCACTATCCGTAGACAAGAAGCCCTTTATACATACGAGCGCAATTCAAGGGGGGTGATATACCAAGTGAGATAATTACGAGGAAATTAAGAAAATCAGTTCAAAGAACTTTTAATGCTGTCGAACTACACGTCTTATTCTCTACATGACCAATGGTGCTACCTCGACTGAAAGATGAAGTACCTAAACTAGACTAGCCACTTCAAATTGTATCTACCGATTCAACTGGGTTTGTCGTGGAGCGAGTTATATTGGCCGTTGCTCCAGGAACTTGATTTTTCGTACTCTCTCGAGAACATCTCCCACTATGGCTAAGTAAAGGTGTAGTGAAAACCATTAACAGTTCGATATTGGACCATCTGTTACAAACCGTCCGGCCACAAAGCCAGCCAACCAGCGTGGAAGAATCCTTCTCTATCATCATCTACCGGGTGCCTAATAAATTGACATACTCATCATCGAAGCACCGCATGCTCCAAAACTCCAGAGGCTATTGGAATTCACCTCAGACAACCAGTGCTCTGTGTTCAAAAGAAGCAAGTCCAGCCAGCTAGCCACTGCTACTGCCCTGGCTGGATTCAGTAGAGACGATAAATTCATGAATTTGTAATATTACCCTTCCTAATTTTTCTGACATTCAGCTTATTTTATGTTGATTCTGCTGAGCTGTAATCTATCAATATTATTGATTCGATGTTATTTAAACAACATTAATGTTGTTCATAATACTTATTCATTCATTCACTATTATGGATGGATATATATATTACTGTAGAGCCTGATGATGAAGGGGTTATCGAAAAGAGTATTCTTTTTTCAGTATCCAACCTTTTGAAAATTCGAACTTGTCAGTCCGTTGTACTCATATACACTTGGCATTGAGCCACGCTTATTTTGTGCGAGGTGACTCAAAATGGATGGATGAGATGTGCTGTTTCAAATCTCTTTGTTAACCACTTCATTTATTTGAGAAGTTACATTCCCTCTAGAAAAACTAATTGTGTTGATGAAATTTTAGCAAGGATACAAAAAGCTCGTTATGGCATTTGCCGAATTACGCCATCCTAGACGTACATATGATATCCGACTGGTTATCAATCAATCAATCAAAGAATGTGTCTACTGCATGGCATTTCTCTCTGTCCTTCTTTATGGCTTTGAAACATGACCTTTGGTAGTGGTGGACCTGGAAAGCCTAGCTGTCTTCGATCATAGGTGTCTGCATTCCATCTACTATGTTAGCTGGTATAATAAGGTGAGGAATATTGAGGTTAGGTTCCGTCGAGTGTTAAAGGTGAGTCAATCAGTGAGGTTGTGAAGATTCATCCACTGAGATCGTCAGCAGCAGAGCTTAATTAAATTAGTTTTAAAATACTACAGTGAGTCATGCGAAAAGAAATAAAAAAAGCAAATAAAGAAAGTACAGAACGTCAGCGCACGCTAACTTCCATAGACACTAAAACTGACATAAATTTTCAACTTAGGATTTTTTTAATAACGGCCAGTAGTTCAATTCGCAAAGACTTAGTTAGGCATATATTTATTACTATTATTATTATTATTATTATTATTATTATTATTATCGTTTCCTTTAATTCCTTGAGGAACATAGCGCTTCCACCACGCACGTCTCCATTGCGTTTGGTTCTGTGCTAAAGTTGTCACATGGCTCCAAGTCTGCCCGCATGCTTTCATCTCCTCTTCATATCACCTCTTCCAAGTCACCCTTGGACTGACGACTAACTCACCACTTGCCTTTCGGATTTCACTCGAGTGATGGCTTGGTGTGTGATGTCACTTGATGATTTCCTCAGAGTTTGACCGATCCACCTGCATTTATTCCTGCATATTTGTTGCACAATCGGTTCCTGCTGGGTCGGTTTGCTCCTAGAGATCCCTGTTGTTGATCTTTTCTGGCCAGCCATCTGATCTTTAGTATTGAGCAAAGGCAGCTGTTGATGAAGTTCTATAGTTTGTTTGAGGTGCTCTTCATAACACGCTAAATCTGATCCGTATAGTAAGTACCACCACTGACTGACTTCACATTGGAGTCGAAAATCCGGATCTTATTTTCATTTTAATGCTGAATAGTGCTGAGTGTTGACCTCCACACAGACTTCAGAGTAATGAAGACTTGTCTTGCTTTCCCGATCCTCGCTGCTTTGATATCCTCATAAGTTCCGTCCTCCTGTAGTTGAAACAATGCTTTCCAGGTAGGTAGGTAAAGGAGGTTGTTTTTTCAGGTTCCTCCCATTTATGCTGGCTGATTGTTGTCTGTTGTTGTTGGTATATATTAAGAATAGAAGAAAATTCAACGAGAATTTACGAAACATAAATTTTAGGAAGTGAGAATAATTACAGTGGAATTTAACGAAAAATCAGTCGATTTGTAAGAATAAGGAAAGTAAATAACACCTGCACCACTGTGAATAATTTTAAGACATGGCACCAACTGTTTCCATCCATTGACTGTATACTAATCAGTCCAGTAGGACTGATGCAACATCAACCATGAACGACGAATTGCTGGCTATACATATTAAGGATTTCTGCTCCCTGGTGTCTACAAAATTCTCTATTATGCTGCTTTCTTCACCTACAACGCTTTGCATACTCTATAAAAACCGAAAAGACTCTACCCACGCAATCAGTTAAATGTTAAGTCACTAAAGTTGACCAAGGCTACATTAAAATTAGTACATCTGTCAATCAAATCAAGCAGTAAAGGGCACATTAGACTTTCTTGATGGAGACAATTGAGTGAGTGTAATTGTCTAACAGACAATACTACTGCATAACAACACTGTATGATTTATTATCAGAATAAAATCTTATCCATAATGGAGTTATACTCTACCACCACAGTACCCAAGTTTCATACTTATATCTATAATGAAAACACGACGATATGAATCGGCGTAGAGTGCCCTCCTTGATTAGTAAGATACACATTGTATGCAATCCATCTAATGACCAGACATTGCTATAGTACACCTCAGACGACGAAGTCATAGCCATTTTGTTACTGACTTAGCTGTGATGACAGGGACACATATAAGATAAGTGTATTTGGAGGAATTATCTGTCGGGAGCTCAAAAAGATTTAAGTAATTCTCCAAGTAATTGACTACTACAATTTATTAACCATTATTACCACTGCTCATTCTTTGAGCTCTGCCGAGGTGGAACATACAGTTTCAGTGACACGCTTGGAATTCTGGACTACGATTGATTAGTAAACTAGTAGAGGAGGTTGTTACCAATTCAAAATGCGTATGAATTAGTTTACAGGACACGCTTACAGAGAAGTGATCAGTAAGTTAAATGAGTATTAATTCGAGTTGAAAATGATTAGCAGTGAGATCCAGTATGCACACTCTTCGTATTAATCGGGATAATATCACGTAGATATACCTGAATTTGAAGTGGGTGGGGGTGGTGATGATGGTGGTGATATTTCCATTGATACACAAATCATGAATTCGGCAAAATTCTTATCCTGGATTTCACTGCTTCTCTTCATCGGTTGAAATGCAAATCATGTCTTAATCATTATGACATCATTGAATTGTTTTTGTATAAGGAGATCCGATTTTTACTTGAGCGATTGAGCCATTCAACACAACATAATCAATCCGTGTTAAATACGAATTAACTGAACTAGTAAGTGAAAGAATAGCCTCACAAATATTAAATAGACAGTAAGAGGAAATAATTCAAGTTATAATTACTCTGTGTTCAATTTTTTTTTAACCGAAAATATTAGGTATAAATTGCGTCGTGGTAAGATCTGGATTTCACGCGTCGATAATTTATGTTTAATCTCACACAGACTGGAAGATTTTGAAGGTAGACGAAAACCAACAAAACGGAAGAAGAAGAAGAAGAAAGTAGTGTGGAGAAAACAGGATTCTAGGTGAAGACACAGAGAGGACGGAGGTGATGCAGGTAACCAACCAACCATCACCAAACATCAACAACACACGGCATCAATCACCATCATCAGCATGGAAGAGATTTAAAGGAGGCTACCGCCTTCACTTATCTAGGAAGTATCGTTTCAACCACAGGCTGGTGAAAAGCACTGATGAAGAATCGGAAAGGCCAGAGACGCTTTCATCAACCTGAAACCAGCCTGGAAATATTCTGCACTCAACTAGCCAGTATAAACAACAAGATTCGGATTCCGTTCAACAGAAGATGTGAAATGAGTTAGTCACTGCCACTATACAGGTCAGAAACTTGCACTGCACGTGAGGCGAGGAAAGAATTTTCAGCCATCCACTGTAGACGTTTATCAAACAGCTGCCCGCTTCTCTGACTCCATACTGAAGATCAAAAATGGCCGGTTGACCGTCCTGTCAGCGAGAAAGAATTTAAAAAGAAGAAATTTTGACTGGCAACAAACCAACAGACGAGACCCGACTGCTCAACACACATATGTAGGAGGAAATGGAGATGGATTGGTCAGGCAGACTTTTGGGAGGAGGAGGAGGAGACAATGAGAGATTATGGGCGATCGTGTGCGCCTAGCCAACTGAAGAGGACAGCACCCC